AAAAAAAAAAAAAAAAATTACAGCTGTTCAAAAATGAGTGAAAATTATAAAGAAATTAGCTATATTTTCAAGCTTTTGTATAAAAAAGGGAAAAAGGAAGGACTTGCGTGGCATCCACAGATGAAATTTATGAAGTTTACGGCGACGCTGTTGTATTGTATCCATTCTTGTAGCTCAACAATGGTTCGCTCGCTTCCGTTCCGGAAATTTCGATGTGAAAAATGCATCTCGCTCTGTCCTATAGTGCGACCTATCGTTGAAAAAGTCAATGAAAGTGTGGACGAGATTGACCAGAACCATCACATAAGCAGCCATGACATCGCTACTGAACTTAACATTCATCATCAAATGGTTTTGAATCATTTAAAAAAGTTCGACAAAAAGAGAAGCTCGATGTGTGGGTACAACATGGATTTTCTATGAAAAATTTAATAGACCGAATTAACAACTGAGATTCTTTGCTGAAACAATTTGAAATCGAAGTATTGGCACGGAATTATCCACTATGAGCTGCAACAGCCTATATATATCATTGATTCTACATTTTACTGTCAACAACTGATGAGATTGAAGCAAGCAATCGAAAAAAAAAATTGCCCAGAACTAATCAACAGAAAGGGCTTCGTGTTCCATCAGGACAACGCTAGACCACACACATCTTTGATGGCTCATCAAAAATTGGTAAAGCTGGGCTGGGAAGTTTTGTTGCATCGATCATATAGCTCTGACTTTGCACCATTCGACTACCATTTATTTCGGTCAAGGTGGAACTTCCTTAACGGAGTAAAGTTGGCTTCAAGAGAAGCCTGTGAAAATTACTCCTCGCAGCTTTTCGCCGAGAAACCACAAATTTTTACACCGATGGAATAAAGTCTCTAGCGGAAAAATGGCAAAAAATGGTCTACTAAAATGGTACATATTTGGTTCATTAAAGTTCATATTAAATAAAAAGAAAAATAAGTTGAAGTTTGATTAAAAATACGAAAAGACTTTATCGACTACGCAATATTTACTTATATTTTAATTCATTTCATGGTATCTAAAGAAAAGTGTTTAAAGGCTCAACCTATATACATCTATAAATACACGAATATTGTATATATTATATATATGCAAATCTAATAATCTATATATATATATATAAGTGTTGCCACTTACCTTGTTGCCAGATCGCGATGCACGAAATTCATTTGCTCCAAATGCTTCATGCCCGATGCAATTTGCGTAGCTATGTACACCAAGCTGCCATAACTGCCATGTATAGATATATACACATACATATACAACCATTTGTATGTATTGCAATAATCAACGGCATCATTATCCCCCAATTTTTAGTTGGATTTCACCATGCCACGCATAGCGAGGTGGGCAGTAAGGAGACAAGTTGTGTATGTGTGTGTATTTATGTTTTTATTCGAGCATTGAAAAAGTTTTGCACCATCAATCCAACACACATATAGTATATRCACATAAAAATAGCAGATAAGGCCAAGCAACAACAACAACATAAACGTACGTTGGCCAACAAAGCAAGAAAGTTGAGATGAAGAAAAATGCCGGCAAACGGTGGGGACGGAGTTTATGATGATGATGTTGTTGTTATTGGTGTGACGTTGTGACATTGTTGTGCGTCGTTTTGTTGTATGTTATGGGGGCATGTGTTTGTTTGGTGAAAATTATCGACACGAGACCGGAAGCGTGGCAGGACAAGTCAGGAAAATTAATAATAATGTGAATGATCATTATTGTGTTTGCCGACGTTAGCCGATGTTTGTTGGTAGTTATGTTKTTTGTTGTTGTTCGAGGGTTTTTTCGTTGAACAGTGGCGGTGGCGACCAAAAATGTTTTCAACATTTGTTGTGTAATTTATGGTGGTGTTGTTGTTGTTATATTTGCAGACGCCGGACGGTGTTGAAGTCGTTGTCGTATATGCAAACGTTGTTTTTTGTTATAGTCGTTGTTGTTGTTGTCGTCATCATCAGCCAAACGGAAGTCGGAAACAAGATTAAGCGCAAAGGATGTAAAAAGAGAAATGAAATGAAAAGTTTGTTAAATATTTTGTTGAGGTTATGTTGGTTACGTTTAAATGGCCTGCGTGTGGAGAGATTCACAGTTACTTTGGTGGGTTTACAGCGTAACATACATATGTATATTCGGTAATATTTCGTGTATTTATACTCTGTACAAGATATATGAAGTTTTCTTAGTCCCCCAATTTTTGAGGTACCAATCTGCATGTACCGCTTTTTCTGGAAATCTAATAACGAGRACAGAGCAAGGAAGGCATCGGTTGACCTATACTGCTGCTGAAGAGCTATTGGTAAACGGTGAGGACTCTTTCCAAAGGCAGTACTTTGGCTCTTTGAAAACATATTCAAGTCTATAATATTCTACGCAAGTTTTGTATGGATGAAGACGCTAGAAAAGAACGYATTCATGAAAAAACTGACGAATATTCAATAGGTGGATCTCGGCAGTACGTGCGGTGCTCTGCCTACATGGACTATAGCGCTCATTGCCTTGCTGCATTAAGCACCGATGGATATAGTTGTATAGTCGCGAAAGCTGCTCTGTGACTCAGAAAAGCTGGGTACTTAGATGAGAGAATAACTCCTGGAGAAGAAGAGCGGTGAGCGTTTTGTCGGATGGATAAAAGCATGCGGGAATAATTGATGKTGTCCCAGACTGTCGGAAACCAACTATCAGCTTTAGTTTTGCACTTCCTGTCCTCTACAGCGGATATTCAAGCAAGTGAGGAAAATTCTTTGAGCGCCATTCACTTACGAGTGCCGAGAAACGATTCTGGTACGTACGGCTCAAGCAACTCACAACTGTCTTATACCAAGCATCCTCTGGGCATCCAAAAAATATCCGTTTGAAGATGTGCTAAAGCGAAAAGACAACATGCTTCTCCAGCTTTTTGTGCTGGGTTTGGGACCAGCTACGTAAAAAAAAAAAAAACCAATTGAAAGGACAAAACAGCCTCGGATGAAAGACCCCTCCGCTGCCTACGCTAATAAAGAAGAGGAAGGCCACTACAGCAACTTCCAATGGGWAATGTATAATAAAAGTAGCAGCAAATATACTACTCCAGACCGCAGTCTACTTCAGAGTGGTAAATATTCATGCTGTTAGTGCGGCAGCGATATTAGCCTTGTGATTCGAGTAGCGATATCTAGACTCTTTCTCTCTAGCATAGAGTTACTACATGTTTAGACTGGGTTGGGTGCCTGGTCCCAGCGGTATTTTAGGAAACTGTAAGGCTCATCAGATTGGATAGGTTTTTCAGGATCGCTACCAGCAGAACGGGAACGGGTAGGAACTCCGTTGGCTCCAGTTCGCTACTGGTTTATTTAACCTCAGACCAGTTCAACTACTAGATGCAAGGTCCATTGGGACCATGGTAAATCGTAAGAGGTTTAGGGAGCGCTACGATATTAACAATGTCAACCTTTCTATGGTTGTAAGAGTTCCAACTAGATGCTGTCCGATCGGGATTCATGCGGTAAAACTGAACATTTTACCGGATACCACCTGCTTCAGCTGTTTGTAAGAGGTTGAGATAAGAACATTTCAAACCCTTTTCCTCATATTCTTCGACCAGATCAAGGCTAAAACTTTTCGGCTCCCACAGTTTTAGACTTTGTGATAGGTACAGGACGCTTTACTTGTAATTAAATTTTTGGTCACATCCTCTTTTCTTCAAACATTTGTTTATTTGTCGGAACTGCCTATATAATATATCATATAGCTGGCATACAGTCATTCTCGTCACGGTTCGATTGTTTCCAATGCATCCAAATATTAATAGAAACAATCAACTTACTAATTAAGGAATCCTTTATTATTCATTATGCTTTTGCTTGGTTTAGGTTGTAAATTTTCTTCACGGCTTAGTTTTGCGTTCAAGTGGGAATGGTTTCCATATTATTATGGAAAAATTATCGAAACTACTTTAATAAACCAATACTGAATAATTCAACAGGGTCAAAGTCCACAAAAGCTCAGTTGTTGTCCACTTTAGACCTAGTTGTGACTGCGAATGTATTCAAAAGATTATGAAAAAATGCAGACATTCCTCACCCTATAAGTATTATGTAGCTCTGCAGTGGTGAGGGCACAGAAAATACTGAATACCCAACTTGTTGAAAAATTATGAAATAAGGTCTTTACTGAGTTAGTACAGTCTGCGGAGGAATGAAATGTGACAGAAAGTCGAAAGCAAGAGCATCTAAATACTCAGTTTACTTATGAATATGTCGTATGAAAGTATTGTTTAGATTTTAGTACCTTTAGAGCAAAATTATCTGTTAGAAGATATGTTAACACACAATCTTAAACCCGTATTTCTGTCATTCCATTAACTTACTCAATACCACTCATAGTAGACTCACTCACCTTAAGCTCTTATTCGTCATAATACCCGCTTGTAGACTATGCGTCGTGTCGGCTACATGCTCCTGCAGAAATTGATTTAAGTCACCCAGACATTCCGAGTAATCGAACACCATGCAAATGGGCTCGTCACGCAAACAGGCGCCAAGTAAATGCGCCACATTCGGATCATTGAGGCGGGTGAGTTGTTTCGCTTTATTGCGAAACTCTTTACGCATATGATCGGGTGCGCCGGGTCGGAGAGTGGCTACTGCTACCAAATTGGCGCTGGGGAAGAAAAATAAGGTAAGGAAAATTTTAGAAAAATTTATATAAAATATTTGAAAACATAAGTACTGTGGCAAAAAATGTTGTTACAATGTTATTATGAAAATAATATATATAATATATTTTTATAGAACAATTATGCAGATTTATTACATATTATTGACTATAATTATTTCTATATTTTACCCTTAAAAGACTATAGGAAATTCAAGAAATGYAGCGTTTCAGTACAGCTTCGGTGTAGCTGAATATACAGTTTCTACTTTTTTTGTTATTTCAGTGGTTTAAAACATTCTACAAATAGCTTTGATAATTCYTGCTAGTATACAAATTTAGTGCTTCTGATCACGAAGGACTGACAGTTACGGGAATGAAAATATTATTGGGTATATAACCATATATGATCGCAAACTTGATTATTATTTTTTTATTGCTCCAATATTCCGAGAACAGTTATCCCTTTTACTAATAACACTCGGTGGCAGTTGAAGGTTACTAAAGAGGTCAAAATTTTTGTTTTCACGTTAGACTCAACATCTGCATTTAACACGGTCCAAAGCCATCAAGGATCTCATGATATGCAGACGACTAGCCGGCAGATCCTGTGGCTGCAATCCAGGTATCATAAGATAGTTGTATACCATGATTTTAATGCCTATTGTCACATATGGAGCGGTTGTTTGTGCATCTAAGTAAACATAGTCTTAGGTAGGCCTTCAACTATCGAAGTCGCAAAGGCTCGTTTTTGTCTGCGCCTCACGGGCAATGCGCACTTGCTCCACTGCAACACTTGGTTACATGCTGGAGTTCACAACACTGCATCTAGTGATCAAGCAGGTATCATGTTTCTAATGGCAGCAGATGATTTCGGCAAAGAAAAGATAATGTCGTCTCAGAAAATGAAAGAAGACACACCCTTCTTCCAAGAGACGGCGTTACGAAAAGGATTAATGTTACGAAGAGATTTAGAGTTATTCTCGACAGTAAGGTGGASCACTATCCAGTGGTACACTGACGGCTCCAACACACCGGAAGGTATTGGAGCAAACATTGCGGGATCGCATATTCATACCAATGGTACAAATGAGGTATCTTTTAAGGTGAAACCTTTGTTATAAGTCAGTGTGCAGAATCGTATCGCTATACTTAGCGATAGTCAAGCGCCTCTAAAGAGATTTCACCGCCTATCAGTGTTCAACCGGGTACCAGTCTGGAAGCCGGGGAAAAAAGGAGTAGCCGGCAATGAGTTGGCCGRCGTACTAGCCCGCTTTGCGGCAGCGTCTAGAATCATAGGGCCGGAACCATGCATTGCAGTGGTAGCCCACATATTAATAGCAGCATTAGCAGCAAACAGCAGGAATGCGCATTACCAAGCTACTTCTCTACAGGGAACCCCATAACACTTGATTCTGGATTGCTCAGCAATTTGCAGAAGCAGGCTCAAGGCCTTCCATCTYGTGDACAGGGTTCACATCACCTCAGTCACGCCTAGCAGGTTTCTGGAATTGTTCAAGATGACATGTGATATGTCTCTTATACACATCTACAGGGTTCACATCACCTCAGTCACGCCTAGCAGGTTTCTGGAATTGTTCAAGATGACATGTGATATATGGGAGAGCACAATCGACCGTAGGTCGCCGTGCAAAATCTTCATACTGATACTGTTTTTGTTCACCTTTTTCAGCCGAAAATTTTGTGGAAGTTTATTTATTACTTTATTCCTTTCCCAGGCTGATAGGCGATATTGCACTAGAAGAACTACTCTATAAAGATTGTTATCAAATAAAAGAAGACCTCGCCGTATCTTTACGAAACACACAAGCAGCCATTTCAAAACTTTTCACAGTATTCAATGATATACAAATTGATGAGAGGAGACGATTTCGCATTCGTTGGGACACAGTAGCAAAGGGAAGATATACTCGCCGATTAATAGAAAATCAASAAGCATAGGTCGAACTATAGCATGGCGAGACAGACTTTTACATGACTCAAGTCATGACTTTCTAACAAGACACAGGTGTTTTAGAAAGTACYTGAATAGGTACGGTTATGACAATGGAGTTACTTGCTCTTTCTATGGTAGCAGTAGTGAAACTGCGGAGCATATATTCTCCCACTGTCTGAGATTCACAACAGTGAAGGAGGATTTGGAGTTGGAAGTGGCAGGCCTAATAACACTTGATAATATAGTATGCTGCAAACGAGACAAGTATAGTATACCATGGAGAGAACGACAGCTCTGACACTGCGAGAGCTGAGAAAAGGCTGCGAATAGCGAGCTAATGACTTGAGCCAATAGGCTAAGCTGACCCTGTGATGCTTAGAGGCGGTCTCGTATGACCTTTTTACAAAGCTACAGCTGATGGAGTTAAGGATGTAGTACGTTGACGTACTGTTTCGCAAGTTCGATATGGTAATACTGCTTAGGTGTAGTTCCGAATGGGCTGAACCTTTAGCGAGCAGTACGAATAATACATATTGTATACTATTAAGTATCCGTAACGATAGAAGATTCCTCATTAGGAATTTAAAAAAAAAAAAACACGATTTTGATAGCTGATAATGAAAAGTATAAATATTGCGACAACACTAAATGCAAAAGTTCATTTGGGAAGTCCGGCCAAACAACCAAATGAACGGCAAAGTCATGACCCGAAAGTATTACTTTGTATTTACTGGGCCAGGCTGTATTATGAGTTTTCAAAATCGACTGAAATCATTTTCTGGGAATGCTATTGCAAACATTCCTTCAAGTTGATGCGCGCGATTGCCAAAAAATGCGCGGAATTTGAGGCTAGGAACGAGAAAAAATCAATCATGACAACTCTCGGTGTCATATTGCGAGACCGTTTAAAAACTATGCCGAAAACTGCTGCTGGGAAGWGATTGCCAAAAAAACGTTCGGAATTCGAGACTGGAAAAGATGTTAAAGTTTCTATCATGACAACGCTCAGTCTCATATTGAGAGTTCAGTTAAATTGCGAATACAGCTGCTGGGGAGTTTTGCCTCACCCGCCTTATAACTCAGAGCTTGCCGCTTCAGATTGCGCTTGTTTCGGTAGACGCAGAAGGCACTTACTGGAATATGATTCACTTGTCCAACGTTCTTTTCTGTGAGTTGCCAACTTCAAGGCATACATAATACACCCTGATTCAGGGTTCATATATCTGAATCGGCTTTTCCTAATCCTCCCTGTACAGGGTATAGCTATCTAAGTCTAAGCCTTTTCGTACGAAAGCACTCAAAACTAAAATTAAGACAGCTAACACAGCAAAGCAGAACAGCTTGCGCAACCCGTCCGCTAATAATTTTTATTATTTAATACTCATTTAAAGCCACTTCACTTAACTACTTTTCTGCTGAAATAAAATATTAATATTATTTGCAGTTTTTATGAGCACAGATTTGTCAACTGTCCGCTGCATTAAAATGATTAAATTGTCAAGTATTTTTGTAATTTTTCTACGWATTTCATAACAATAATGAAAATGCATTTCACAAAATTTTTGTGATGATGATTTAATACCAAATGTTGTATATATGAAGCCGACATGTCATAATGTGAAATAAAATATGAACGCACACATACATAAAACACACACACACACACGAAAGCAATCAGAAACGCAATACCGGCAAGTGAAAGATAGAGAGCGTGTGGTAGTGTTGGAAGAGGCAGCGGTTCAATGGCTGTGTGTAAAGGACATTTGTGGAATGATAGCAATTTTGCAGCTGCCAAATGACCTGCAATATCAGAGGTACACAAGCAGCAACAGCAGCCGACTTGGCTTAATACGTATCTTTTTATATATGTGAGTGTGTGTGCATTAAAATCGCCTAACTACTGCTGGCCCGGTCGGTAGGTCGTACGCTCGTTTGCACGTTCGTCTGTTGGTGCGCTGCCTACGGTCGTTGTGTGTCACATTGCGGCAGCATATAAAATTGTGTTGCGGTCATAAAACCTCAAAGTGCATTATGAACGTTATCCTTGTTGCGACAAAACAGGATATGTGAAATAATTAACATGCTCATAGTTGCACTAAAATGACCAGAACACACACACATATATATGTCTATATATATATGAGGATGTTTGGTATACGAGTATGTATGCATATCAACTTATTACACGAGCAATATGTCGGACTGTCAGTTATATATAGTATAAGCATCCAGCTATACATACATACATATATAGGCGAGTATTGAGTTGCATTTGCATTCCATTTTCAGTTATGTTTTTTTTGTTTGTTTCGTTTCGTTTTGGCTCTCTGTTTTGTCACATCCTGTGCGCTTSAAATACAAAATCGAGTTGAGTCGGTTGCGGTTAGTCGGCTGCATAYTGCATATATGGTTGAGTGCGGTGTGTGTGGCATGTTGCTGTCGTTCTTATCGAGGCTCTTGAGTGGCTTTATTGAAATTGTAATATTTGACAGAAGTCAAATGTGTGGTTCAAATACATTGCCAAGCATTCGCATTGACTGTGTAACTACACATACATACTATACATTCATATGACAGTACTGCACAGCGCCATATTAAGAGAGACTTCCACAAAGCCGCCGCAAAATGTTATGAGTGAGCAACGTAATTTAAATATATTATTTTTGGTGCCTATTGCACATATGTTTTAGTTTATTCAATTATGTTCGTTAAAGTTAGGTTAGGTGTATGGCGAATCAATTATTTAATCTCCGTATGATTCTTACGCGAGGAGGCTTTGTTGGTGATTTTAGAGCAATAATGGGATAGCCAGTTTCCAGCCATTCTTTGAAATATTTAACCAGTGAAGTGAAGGGTGGGGTATTAGTACCAATAGCTCCTGGGTCCAAAGTTCTCAGGGGAGCGCGGTGATCCGCTTCAATGTTTTGCGGATTTTTTATCCAACAGTTTCTAGGCTGAGTCAACCTTTTATCCAGCTGGTGCGGAAGATATTTAATTTGTATGTAATTTAGAAGGAATCTATACGGATGGCTCGAAAATAGACGATGGA